GCGGTCGTGTAGTGTACAGGGGGTTACGAGAGGCGATTAACACCACGTGACCAGCCGCCGATCAGCAGTCGTGAGGTCGCAGGGACTTCTGGTGTGTTTAATATTTCGCTCGTCCCTCGTGAGGGTATCGCACTGTTGAAGCGGCGCTGCGAGCAGCTGCGACCCAAAAATGTATCAGAACCGCTCACGGCGCATGCGCGCGCAATCCTGCACCAACGCCGGTCGCTCGCTATTTCCCTAATAACACACGCTGTTCGTTTTTGTTTCTACACGTTTTTTTTACTCACAAAGATTGTCAAGAAAGTGTGTTTGTTGTGTTCATGTCAAATTAAACTGATCACAAAACACAGATTTACTGTCTTTATTTCGTTTTCCTCATCCAACCCCCATAAATCCCTGTGTGTCCTCCTGCAGCACTCCCGAAGGAAAACAGGCAAAACAAGACAAAAAAGTCTGACGTGTTGAGTAAAAACTGCTATTTTTAGCATATTTTTAGGGCCGACGTGTTGCTACCAGACGTACAGTGTGAGCAGTCAGGTCGCACCCGAGAACTGGGTCGTACAGTGTGAGCGCATGACTCGTGAGATCTGCTCTGCGAGGAAGTCGTACAGTTTGAGCTGAAGCTGAGTGCTGCGAGTGAAAAAGTCGCACAGTGTACGCCCGGCTTTAGTGTGGTGCAGGGGTGCGTGAGCTGCCGCTAGGGGGTGCGTGAGCTGCCGCTAGGGGGTGCGTGAGGTGAAAAGTGTAATGGCTGCGGAGCTCAGAGAAGTCTGTCATATGTCACCATTAGCGTAGCCAGAAACTCATTTGTGGGTGGGCCAAAGAAAAAGTAAGTGGGTCCAATAAATGTAATTGAAAATAAGAATATTTTGGCGCGCGCGCGTATGTCCTCCACATGTGCCCTAGCTTCATAATAATAATTCGCTCCGAGCTTCAGCACTCTGGCCTGCGCACGCTGTTAATAGCAAGATATGTTCCGTATTTGATCATTTTTATCGGTGTTGGAGAAATCTGAAGGTGGTGAGCCATTCTGGCAGTGTCATGGTCTGCATCTGCCCCTTCCTTCATGTGCCTCCTGGTGTTTCTCCATCCTCTCTAGGTGCTCCTTTTGTGTCCTAGCGCCCTCATGTGTCGTGTCTGCGTCTTCCTCATGTGTCTCCTGGTGTTCCCCATTTGCCCTCTAGGTTTCCCTCCTCAGACTTCCCTCTCCCAGGTCCTGTGCTCTCTTGGCCCCCTCTTAGCCACGCCCCTGTAGTTTCTTTCTGTAGTGTTTTCCTTTAGTGTCAGCTTCCACTTAGTATATTAGTTATGGTTCATGCCTTCTGGTCTTTTGTTTTTCTCTTAGGTCATTTTTCTTCGTTACAGCCTTTCATTACTTAGTGTGTTTTTTCCCACCAGTGTTTTCTTCCTCCTCCCTGATTTAATAATTGTGTTCACCTGGTCCCTCTCCCCACACACCTGCAATTCATCTCCCTCTCATCTTCCCAGTCTATATAAGCCCTGTCTTGTCTCTGTGTGGTTGTCGGTCCATTGTGTTTGTGTATCAGCGTTTTTTGGTGCTCTGTGTGAGCTTTGTGTCTCATTCCAGTTTTGTGCTCTAAGAGAGCTTTGTTCTCCTGATTCTGGATTTTTGGATATTTGGCTCCCTGCCTTTGGATTTATTTTTCCTACAAATAAAAGGATTTTTTCTTTATATCAACTCCTGCCCCATGTCATCCTGGGTATCTGCATTTTTGGGTCCTAATCATCCCCTTAACGTGACAGGCAGATTGTAATTAACACCCTCTCTCATGCAGGTGTTCTGACATTGTAAACCTCACACACAGAACATTGTGGATGTAACAAAATAAATTTCCATCTGAGCATTTTAGCATTATTATATTATTATATTAGCACACTGATTGTGGGACAGCCTTCTAAACGTGTCAGGCTATTAACAGCGCGCTGAAGATCTGAAGTTCACAGTGCGTCTGTCAGAGGTCAGACGCATTCCAGCGGAACCACGGCTCACGGGTGCACATGTGAGCACATCTGGGCTGGGCAGAAGTAATTTTATAACATTGGTTTAAATAGCGCCAATAACGAGATGCGGTGACTGGAGCGGCTCATGGAGTGGCTCATGGAGCTGTGCCACACACACACGCACACACACACACAGAGATTCAATAAGCACACGCTGCGCCGCGCCGTCAGACTGAAGGCAGAGATGAGCGCTGCCTCCTCTGTGATAAAAAAACTTTTAAGAGGTTTTATAATAACATTTTTCATTCAAGGTCAAATTAAGATATTAGCTTCTATTTTGGGATGACGTATTAAAATCGAGCCAGTGACTCCTCATGAACATGACCACAACTCATGTGACTGCAGCATTTGTTATTCCAGTCCGCATGGCAGCGGATCACAGATTCATCCACACTATAAAACAGCAATAAGTCGGTCTGAGGCAAAAGTGAACCTCATGGCTTTTCCATATTTTCCCCCTACAGACATTTGATTACGCACAAGTAGGTGATCAGCTCAGGTTTACGCAGAGCAGAAGGAAGGAGAGAGCTCTGGCCGCACAGGTTAAATGTTCCTACTTTAAGAAAACCGTTAAATTGCATTTTTTATGTGCTACCTGGGCACTCTAAATATTGATTTAAAATTAAATCAAAGGAAATTGTAATGGTATTGAATGTTTATTAATTACTGCTTAAAAAAATGAAAGTGATGGGGGAAAAGGACGATCATATTTTTTAACGCTGTCTGTCAAGTGACTGTTTAGCTTGATGTCTGATATATATATATATATATATATATATGTATATATGTATATATATATATCCATGCCCTGATGTGGGGGCTGGGGGGTGCGCAGCTAAATAAGTTCGGGAACAGCTGGTCTAGAGCAACCACATGAGTTCTACTTGAGTTCACATTTCCAGGCATCATTCTGATTTTTAACCCTTCTGACATTCTTAGCACCCCCCCCCCCCCCCCCCACCCCCACCCACCCACACACACACACAATCACCACGCCACCCCCATTTCAGTACTGGTTCTCAGGTATAGTGTATATTCAGAGACCGCTGCTGGATCATCTTGGTCTGACTTCATGCACTGACTGTTGAACGTGACATGTGAGCAATCAGAAAGTGAGCTGACAGGAACACACTGCACGCTCATGCTCTGCCGAGTGCGTTTCCTCCAAATCACGTATAATCTGAATGTATTTTACGAGATTATTTTACATGTGGCCTCCCCAACCATGATGATGGTGGTGATGATGATGATGATGATGATGATGATGATGATGATGGTGATAGTGAAAATGATGTTGATGGCCTTGGGGGTCGGGTCCTGACATGTATGCTGGCGGGAACATGCGGCAGTGCCTGGCCCAGGCTCAGGGGCCTCAGGTGGACCTTGGCTCCTCTGAAATAATAACTCTGTCCCATCACGGGGGAGGGGTATGTCCAGGAGGGGGAGGACCCAACCTTACCTGGATGTCTTATGTCTTATATATTCTGGAAGTTGTGCAAATAGAAGGATGGGAGTAGATATTCTGCTGGGGTGGGGCTGGGTTGGTGCCCTCGGACTGTGCGGCTCTGCGATGCTGCTGCACTAACGCTGTATTGGAGCAGGCGGAGGGAGACTAGGGGTCTTAGCACACCTCTGTAGTTGTTTGGTTTCCCGTCGCTGGAGGCTATGGGGGAGCTGGCCGTCTGGTTGGGGTCTGGGGTGGTGGGTTGCTTTGCTCAGCGTTGGGTGGGGGAGCCTGCTCATCAGCACCCCAGCAGAAAGGGTCGAACTCTGGGAACTGGTGATGGTTGTACCCTTTGTGCAGCAGTACCAGGACCAGAGTGAATAGGGTGTGTATGGGGAGCATGAGTGGGTGTTCGGCGGACATTTTTGTAAGTCTTAGGTTGTATGTGTATGTGTTTTGTCCGTGTATGACTGTATATGTCAGGTGGGGTCTTGGACTCCTTCCTTCTACTGGGACTTCTTTTACTGCTACACATCTTCGACTACCTACTATGATGGTGTAAAAATGATGATGATGATGATGATGATGATGATGATGATGATGATGATGATGATGATGATGATGATGATGATGATGATGATGATGATGATGATGATGATGATGATGATGATGGTGGTGGTGGTGGTGGTGGTGGGCATGATAGTAAGGTGATAGTAATGAAGATTATGGTTATGACAGTCCCTTCCCAGCAGAAGGATCTTTGTATTTTACTTAGTCATGTACTTAAGGTGATGAAGAATGCCCATCTTCAGGTGCTACGTGACTAAATATTACATTTAATTATCAAATTATTGCAAATGCAGATTAGATGAGAAAGAAACCACTTCTTCACAACTGTGGAGATAAAATGTCCCGCTAACTACAAGAAGAGATTGCGTGTTAGTGTTTACAGTCCAAGGAAGGAGGCATCCAGACTGGAGAGACTACCTGGATGGGGATGAGCAGAGCATGATGACGCAAAGCCAGCTGCATCCAGCCATTTGCAAAAGCTTAGCTCAGTTAGGCACAAACAGCAGCTGGGACAGAAAATGTGACCATGAAGCCAAAAACCACTTAGTGGGTGTTTTTAATGAGGAAATAAAGATCTAACATGGTCAAAAGCTCCAAAAAGATGATTCTGCATATTATAGTAATTTTCTGAAAAAGTTTCTCTTATTTTCAGTTTATATATAACAACACCCTCTTGAACAGAAACCAGCTTTAAAGCCTGCTGCTCCTTTTCTTCAGCCAATAAAAACAGAAATCTTCATGTTTTTATATTTTTAAAAGCTTCTGTTCTGCAGCAGATCCAAAGATCTTTCCTAACATAAAACATAAACACACAACATCCCAGTACACGTTAAACCCCACAACAGAAACTGGTCCAGGACAAAACACCCAAACAGAAGTGTCGTTTACACAGTCCAGTGTGGTGACGACTGTCCAGATCTTTACATCGGGGAAACTAAACAACAGTTACACAAACGCATGGCACAACACAGGAGTGCCACCTCTTCAGGTCAAGTCTCTGCAGTCCACCTACACCTGAAGGACAAGGGACACTCCTTTGAAGATGACAAAGTACACATTCTGGACAGAGAAGGTTTGAGAGAAGAGTAAAGGAAGCTATTGATGTCAAATGGGAAAAACCCCACTTTAAATAGAGGAGGAGGACTCAGGTTTTGCCTTCCCAGCACGTGTAATGCAGCTCTGAAGCTAATGTCAAAAAGGTTCAGTCTAGGTCATGCCCTTCTGTATCTAATGAACATAACCATTTATACACAATAGACCCTAACAACATCAACAACTCTTAGGAGGTAGTAAGTTGGGGTATTCATAGGTAGTTTCAGCTCGTTAAGCAACAATAGACAGCTACAGTGAAGCTTGACTCGCCCATATTCCAGTCAGAACTGACAAAGCTTCTCAGATGAGAAGCAGAACGGTGTGTGTGTGTGTGTGTGTGTGTGTGTGTGTGTGTGTGTGTGTGTGTGTGTGTGTGTGTGTGTGTGTGTGTGTGTGTGTGTGTGTGTGTGTGTGTGTGTGTGTGTGTGTGTGTGTGTGTGTTTTGAATTAAACACAATTTAAAGCATTTTTTCAGAAATTAAAAGAACTTCAGTTTAAAATATTAATGTCTACATCTATTGTTTGATTTTTTGTTTTTAATTTAAAAAACACTTTGGGGGAAACATTTTTGAACAATTAAAATTAGATTAATCAAGATTATTTAATTACAAAGCCTCTAAATATTTAGATTTGTTTTTTAATCGAGTTCCACCCCAAGAATAAAGTAGTGCGCGCGTGCGTCATCAACGCATAAGCGGGTGCTCAATGAAGGAAGAAACGAGGGAGTTGGATCACTCGGGTGTGTAAGTATTTAACGGGTCTAAAATAAAGTACTATTAACGGTTTGATGCTGCACGCATCAGAGCCAGATGGAGGAAGCTTTTCAGTTTCTACTAAAAGACAACAGCTAATGCAGCAAAATAAAATCATGCCTTGCTTCTAACAAAGTAGCAGGAGTTTCTAGAGTTAGCAGGCATTGCTCCTGCTAGCTTGCTGCTTCTCTGTTGCTGACAGGTCTTTGTAAGTAGATATGTCATGCATTCTTACGTGTCCATTCATAAAAACGGCTGGGGTATTTTTCTGCCCAAAACTTTATACTCAACTTTACGGTTTTTCACCGGCAAACCTTTTCACAATGCTTGTCTGTGTTTTTTTTTGTCCTGTTTGCATGGAGAGACAGACTGAACTCCCCTGCATGACCAGGTAACAGGTACGGAGCCCTGCAGCGGCTAAAATAGCGCTCCCTGATATGAGAGAACTCCTGCTGCTTGACCCACGTGACCATAACAGACATGCCTCATCTCATGATATTTTTTAGTGCCCGGGCAGGAATAATGTTCCAGGATTAACGTGACAATACAATATACTCCCCCATGTGTGATAGATTAGAGCTGGTGTGCAACACTTGGTGGTTTTGTTGGATTGAGTCTGTTTACCTATGAACAGAATGAACTTTTGACCTTGTGGAGCTCTGGGCTTGTACATACCTCTGTGTCAGGGACTGAGTCCATTCCAGGCACGTGCAGGTTGCTGCGATAGTCCAGACCCTGGTGCCCATCAGAGGTCACGAAGCTCGGCATCCAGCAGCGATCCGAGTGACCCAGAGCCTTGCACTCATCCGTGCAGTTTGAGAACAGATCAGCACCTAAAGATCAGCAAAGGACAGCTTTAAGATCGCTCAACACAGACCAACATCTGGACCAGTGACCACAGATTTTTTTTTTCAATTTCAATTGATTTATTTAATAATCAGGACAGTGCATGTTAACATCAGTCACGCCGAAACATGCCAGAGTTAGCCATAGGCTAGTTTACATCTGTAGTCCTGTGCCAGTTGTACAGTCGGCATCCTAGGGAGGACATTATAAAACACCTATACAATCAAAAGTAAATTATATGAAGATTGTTATAGAAAAGCTACATTAGTCCGGTACAAAATTGAACATCATATTACACCAATGTAGAAAAAAGTTGCATGAAAGCAGTATTAAATAAATGTTTGTAACAAAATGAACAGGATGATAGGCCTAAGTAGCGAATGCAAATAAGGATGGACATGGAGTTGCGGATGTATCGGAAGCTGGCCAAGGTGTCTTTTATTTTTTTACAGGTTTCCCTCACATGTGGCTTGAAGTTTAAGTGGGAGTCTACCTGGATGCCTAGATGTTTGTATTGTTGGACAATTTGAAGTTTTTCTCCTGAAATTGTGATGTCTGGGTCTGCTGTTGTGTTCTTTTGCTCATTTTAAATAAATTTTTAAGTATTTTCTAAATGCTTTTTTATATTTTTACTTTTTTTGTTTTGTTTTTGTGAAGAGCCTCGTGATTTTTATCTTGAGAGGCGCTATAGAAATGATATTTTCTTCTTCTTCTGTGATTTTGTAAAAAACATTCCCACTGTTTTTGACACATTAAGTTGGAGACAGCTCTGTTGTATCCATATTGAGAGTTTAACCATTGATTTTGAGAGTTTATTTGCTACTTCTTGTTTTGAGGTTCCATGTACATAAAAAACTGTGTCATCAGCATACATTTGTATATTATTATTATTATTATTAATAATAATAATAATGCATTGAACTTATATAGCGCTTTTCTAGACACCCAAAGACGCTTTCACACACTCTCACATTCACACACTGCTAGTGATAGTAAGCTACTTGTAGCCACAGCCGCCCTGGGGAGGTCTGACAGAGGCGAGGCTGCCATTTGGCGCCGTCGGCCCCTCTGACCACCACTAACGCAGGCAAGTTGGGTGAAGTGTCTTGCCCAAGGACACAACAGCAGGGTACCCCTGGCGGGAGCTGGAATCGAACCCATGACCTTCCGATCGTGAGGCGACCCACTCTACCACCAGATTCTGCCATTTTATCTCTGGATGCGGAAAAAGCATTCGACCGAATAAAATGGTCATACCTACTAGTGATACTTGAGCGCTTTGGATTTGGTGAGTGTTTTTTGAAGATGGATATGAGTTATATTAACAGACTCCTCTGCTTCAATAACTACTAATACTTATATATCTCAACCCTTTAAGATGACTCGTGGTACGAGACAAGGCTCCCTATTTCCCCACTACTGTTTATAATAGCAATGGAACCTCTTGCATTGGGAATACGAGCTCATTCTCAAATACAAGGGATAGAAATATCGGGGACTGAACATAAATTAGCTATGTATGCTGATTATATGGTTTTATTTCAAACTCAGCTATCAGAATCAATAACAGTATTGTTGGATCTTCTTGATAGGTTTGGCAATTTGTCAGGACTAAAAATCATTAAGATAAATCATACATTATGTTCCTTTATGAACAAGAAAGAATAATGCCCAGGGTGTCCCACCTTTTTATTAACGTCAAGGAAGGATTTAAATATTTAGGCATTAAAATTACCCTGAAAACAGATAACCTTATTGTGGCTAATTACGACCCCATAATCAACGAATTATCAGATGATATTGCAAGATGGACAACAATGCCTCTATCTAATAGGTCGGATAAACTGTATAGAGATGTCCATTCTACCTAGGTTTTTACATGCCTTTCAATCAATTCCATAGTCCCACCCCACCCCCACCCCCACCTTCATTGTTTTCTAGGATTAATTCAATTCAATTCAATTCAATTCAAAGATACTGTATTAATCCCAGAGGGAAATTGATTAAGTGCTGAAGCTTAAGAAGCTTCTTGCCAAATTTGTCTGGAATAATAGGAGAGCGAGACTCAGACTCTCTCTGCTATACCTACCATTTGATAGGGGAGGCCTACGATTGCCAAACTTTCAATGGTATTTCTGGGCTGCCCAGATGAGAGCGATAAGGTTCTGGTTCTCTAATGATCAGAGTCCCCCTGGTTGGAAATTGAAAAATTATCAGCTAGAGGATTAACACTAGATACTTTTATATTTTCAGCCCCAATAAAGAGATTAAGGGAGAATACATCTAATCCATCCGAAAAAGTAGTCTATTAATCTGGCAGGAAATTCAGAACTTCTTAGACATACACCCTGAAATATACTTATTCACTCCGGCTACGCATGACACAGCAAAGGTATTACAATGGTACAAAATATCTTTAGAAATAATAATCTAATGAGTTTTCATGAGATAAGAAATACATTTGATATCCCGTCTAGACATTTATTTAAATATTTGCAACTTCGCAGCTTTATCCTTACTCGACTGAAGAATTCGACATACCTTCCACCATTATCAGCGATGGAGGAATATGTATAGAAAAAATGCCAGAGTAAGAAGCTGATCTCCCTATTTCATAATCTGTTGACTGATAACCATAAAGATAACACTGATAGCAAAAGACTAGAATGGAGTAATGATTTATATTTAGTAATACCTATTGAAGAATGGTCAAAAATTTGCACTAAAGCACACTCACGAAAAATAAATACTTGCTTGAGGCTTATACAATATAACTGGATAATGAGAACATATATCACTCTTGTAAAATTAAATAAATTTGATTCTAATATTCCAGATACCTGTTATAAATGTAGTAACCATCAAGGATCCTTAGTGCACTGTGTGTGGAGCTGTGAAGAGATCCAGAACTTTTGGGAAGATGTATTGAATTATATATCCCAGATTACATCAGCTCCTATTCCTCGTTGTCCTAAATTATTCATATTTTGCATACATCCAGATAATAGTTCTCTATCTTCCAATGAAAGGAAAATGATCGACATCTGTTTACTACAAGCCAGGCGATCCATTGCCCTCTGCTGGAAGAATACCTGCGGTCCCTCTCGGAATGCCTGGCTAAATAATTTAATGACAAGTCTAGCACTGGAAAACCTACATATACAATTAAGAAAAGAATAGCAGATCTCCATAACATCTGGTGGAAGTTTTTAGGTCTAGTCAAGACTGGGGACTTAGATATTTTGGATGATAAATAACCTAGGTGGGTTGGAAGACATTATCCGTAGAGGTAAATGGGTATCCCCCCCCAATTATTATTATTATTATTATTATTATTTTATCTTTTCTTCCTGTGGGTTTGGGCACATTTAGGGCCCATTATTAGTTAAAATATCGGTTATTGTATATGTTGTTTTTTTTACCTATATGTTGGGATGGAGCTATGGGTTGAAAGTATATGCGTATTTGAATGTATATGTAATTATTTATGTTGGAAAAAGAAAGTTCAATAAAAAATATGAATACAAAAAAAAAGAATGCTAATGGGCCTGTAATTTGAAACTTGTTGTGGGTTTCCTGATTTAAATATTGGCGATACGATGGCTGATTTCCATGCTGGTGGAAACTCTGCTTGATCTATATTTGCAATTGGACTAATAAGTGATGAGCTGACATTTTTAAACATTGCTGTGTCCATTCCAAACACATCTTTTGATTTGGATGGCTTGAGTAAAAGACAAAATTCTACTGAAAATAAAAACAGCATTATCAGCAGCGGCCAAAGCTGGTACGTATAAGGAGCTCCAGAATGACATCCTGAATGATTTTCCCCACAGGTAGAGTCCAGCCTCTTACAGACCCAGCCTGGTATTCCCTACAGCTGCACACCGCCGCCACGCCACCAGAACCCAGTTACAGAACCTCCAGTCATACAATCCTCTGGTGTAAATGTTATAATAAACCCATTTTTTAATCCATCTTGGTCTGAGTTGGGCTCTGCTTGTGGATCAAGAAATCACCGCTCGACATGTCAACTTTTACTTTTTATTTTTACTTTTATTTTGATGTTTTGTGTGTGTGTGTGTGTGTGTGTGTGTGTGTGTGTGTGTGTGTGTGTGTGTGTGTGTGTGTGTGTGTGTGTGTGTGTGTGTGTGTGCGTGTGCGTGCGTGCGTGAGTGTGTGTGTGTGTGTGTGTGCGTGAGTGTGTGTGTGTGTGTGTGTGTATGAGCGTGAGTGTGTGTGTGTGTGTATGTGTGTGCGTGAGTGTGTGTGTGTGTGTGTGTGTATGTGTGTGTATGTGTGCACGTGTGTGTGTGTGCGTGTGCGTGTGTGTGTGTGTGTGTGTGTGTGTGTGTGTGTGTGTGTGTGTGTGTGTGTGTGTGTGTGTGTGTGTGTGTGTGTGTGTGTGTGTTTGTTTTGAGTGTGAGTGTGTGTGACTAAGTTACTGTTTGGGTCTAAAATCTGAACTGTCCTGCTCAGCCAATCTGCAGCTAATCCGTCTGAATGCAGACTGATTAGACAGAGACTGCTGCCATCCTGTGTGTGTGTGTGTGTGTGTGTGTGTGTGTGTGTGTGTGTGTGTGTGTGTGTGTGTGTGTGTGTGTGTGTGTGTGTGTGTGTGTGTGTGTGTGTGTGTGTGTGTGTGTGTGTGTGTGTGTGTGTGTGTGTGTGTGTGTGTGCCGGGGTCAGCAAAGTGGGAATTTGCTTTGTTACAAAGCGGATTAATGTGGCTTGCTGTCGCTAACAGCTTGAAAAAGTGGCGAGCCTCCTAACGAGAGGGTTCCTTATTAAACATTAACCAGCATGCCATAAATACACTGATATCACATCTAATGCGACTCCTACATGGCAGATAATGACTTGTTGTGTCGTTAGAAGGCCTGCTGAGGGTGAACGTTCAACAATAAACATAAACAGGGACATAATACCTGCACCCGTCTCATTTTATGTGTTCACAATAAAAACGCATTATTTCCCGAAGCGGATTAACTATCAGACAGTAACAGCCTCATAAAACGCCCAACGAACTGACAGCATGGAGGTTATCCTTTGATTTGGGACGTTAGACATATTTCATAATGGGGTCAAAAAGAACTGCATAATGATAAATTCAGGGATGAAAGAGTGATTTTTGCATCAGCCTCTGAAACATGAAGGAGAGAAAGAAGCTGCTGCTGTTGGCTGCCAAAAGCTAGCTGTCTCTGCACGTGCGCAGGGCCTCGGACACAGGACGTATGGACAGCTAGAAAAAAAATACCCATAATTCAGTTCATCTATCCTGAGGTTCAGGGGAGACGGTCTCCACCAGGTTGTGACTGATCTAAAGCAAACATAATTATTATTAACATGTAAAACATAACTTGTTAGTTCATTAAAACTATAATTTAGAAATTATGTCAGTAATATCCAGAAATGACCTTCTGATATTTTCAAATCGCACTTTAAAAAGTACCAGAGAACCTTAAAATGGTCATTTGTTTAATATTGTGATACATTTTGATGTCGACTTGTAGGAAAATAATACCATGGTAGGTGTTTGTTCATGTCCCCCAGCCCTGCTTTATCCCCTTTACATGACTTTATCATGACATTATTTATTAAATTATTAGCTTATAAATTAATAAATTGCTTGTGAACTAATAACTTCTGTAAATTGAGTGTTTGTAGGAAAGGCAGCATCTGATAAAATCTGTTTTAGTTTCTGCTGAAGTTTGATATTAAGTGGACATGATGATTTAATGTTATCTTGTGTCTGAATTGAGCTGCAGAGCTCAGCAAAGATGGGAATTTGTGGAAAGATCAGATGGACTTCCATTTTTTATGGACCCTGTTTTTATTTGATATAATTTTAACACACCCTAGCGTTGCTGCAGGCTTCATTAGAACTCAGAATGATGCTTGTGTTGTTCCTCCGGCAGAATAAACCCAACTATCAATTATCCTGATCAAACAGAGTTAATCCACAGGAAATAATCCAGTTGTATCATGTTTGAGTCTGCAGAGAGCTGCTGACTGGACCCGTCTTTCATGTGGACCAGGTTCTGAGAGGACTCACACCAAACAACTCTGATGGTTTTGTTTAGACAGAGGAGATTACAGAGCAAAAGGAAGAGTGGATGAAGTGATGGAGTGAGAGAGGAGAGGAGAGGAGCACCCCGTGAGGTTGGAGGGAATAGCAGATTTGTTGGGATCAACCTGGACCTCTGCACCGAGGTTCGGAGCAGCCTCTTGAAAACCCGGTCACGTCCTGACGAGCTGTGAGTGAGCCTGAAGAGCAGCTGGATCCTGTCTCTAACCACCAAACCCAAACCAACGTGAGTCAAACATAGATCAGTCAGCAGAACCAACGGAGGAACTACAGGACTAAAACCGGCACACACTGCAGTCCACTTTCACGTTCTTGCAGCTGTAACCAAACAAGCTCTGATTTCCAGCCTGACTCGGGACTGGAGGGACCTGCAGCGCATAGCAACCACATGCAAATCAGCAGCTCCTTCAGCTCAGTCCTCAGAAACCTGACACTCCAAAACCAAACAGCATCACAACAGAGGCAACGCTTTGCTCATCTCACCAGATGAATGTCCTCGATTCATGGCGTCGTGGTCACTGTCCCCCTGCTCGCTGTCCCCGTGACCGCTGTCCTTAGAGCTGACCAGGTCTGCCTCCTGGAAGGCTGAACTGAAAACAACAAACAGCAGCTCTCTGATTATGCACTGTGAGGACGGGAAGATCAGACGGAGGACACATAAACAAGGTGGAGGAGTGGGCGTGGTTACCTGTTGACCCGTCTCGGCCGCTCAGCCAGGTAGCTGAGTTCACCTCTCTGGTGTTTGGTCTGGAGGAGACAGAGGAGGTCCATCAGCTGAGAGCATTAAGATACTACTGTCGTCTCCGTGTGTGTGTGTGTGTGTGTGTGTGTGTGTGTGTGTGTGTGTGTGTGTGTGCGTGCGTGCGTGCGTGCGTGCGTGCGTGCGTGTGTGTGTGTGTGTGTGTGCGTGAGTGTGTGTGTGCATGCGTGTGTACCTATGTGTGTGTGTGTACGTGTGTGTGTGCATGTGAGTGTGTGTGTGTGTATGTGCGTGTGTGTGTACGTGCGTGCGTGTGTGTGTGTACGTGCGTGCGTGCGTGTGTGTGTGTGTGTGTGTGTGTGTGTGTGTGTGTGTGTGTGTGTGTGTGTGTGTGTGTGTGTGTGTGTGTGTGTGTGTGCGTGCGTGCGTGCGTGCGTGCGTGCGTGCGTGCGTGTGTGTGTGTGTGTGTGCGTGAGTGTGTGTGTGCATGCGTGTGTACCTATGTGTGTGTGTGTACGTGTGTGTGTGCATGTGAGTGTGTGTGTGTGTATGTGCGTGTGTGTGTACGTGCGTGCGTGTGTGTGTGTACGTGCGTGCGTGCGTGTGTGTGTGTGTGTGTGTGTGTGTGTGTGTGTGTGTGTGTGTGTGTGTGTGTGTGTGTGTGTGTGTGTGTGCGTGCATGGGAATATGTGTGTGCAAAAGTGTGTGTGTGTGTGTTGGCACGACTGGGCTGCCTTCAGACTCATCCTTGTTTTACTCCAACACAGCTGCACCATGATGAGCAACCTTAATGCAAATGTTCCTGTGACACACACACACACACACAGACTCACACTCACACACACACACACTCACACTCACACACAGTTGCACTAAACGCTAGTATGTTAGCTAAATGGTAACAGCAATAACTACAGGTAAGAACATAATCAAAGCTGATGAGCTATTGTGTCCATCAGAGCAGTGTGTGTGTGTGTGTGTGTGTGTGTGTGTGTGCGTGCGTGCGTGCGTGCGTGCGTGTGTGTGTTACCTCGCTTGATAGGATGCTGCCGTTGGATATGATGTCCGGCTGCTGGTCTGTGAACCCAGACACAATGGCCCCACATGGATTGTGGTCTGTGTCGGTACTCCTGGTGGGGCTGCAGGGCTTGAGGAACATCAGGTCCGTTTTGGCCGACTCTGGGGTCAGACACACCTGGTAACAATAGTTCTGGTTTTGGTGGTGGGAGCCGAAGGTCCCGGACTCCTCAATGGGGACTTGGGCCGACCCGGTCCCGCTGACGTTGACGGTGCTCTGAACCAGCATGATGTCGGACTTGCTGAGCTTCTTTTTGCGGGAGCGGCTGGTCCGGGAGCAGCAGAAGCTGCAGCCCAGGCAGCAGTCACTACTCAGGCAGCTGTAGATGTTCAGCTTCTTGTCCTTCTGGCAGCGAACTGCCAGGACGATCATCACCAGGAAGAAGATGAAGGACACCGAGCCCAGGGCGATGATCAGGATCAGGGTGAGGTCCAGAGTACCGTCTTTGGCCTTGCTGGTGCCAGTTTTGTCTCCACCACCCCGACCCACTGCCACGCTGTCCACTAGCACCACAAGCACACTAGTGCTGGAGGACAGGGGGGGCTGGCCATGGTCCCTCACCTCAATCAGCAGGTCGTACAGCTGATAGGGGTCTCTTTTAGCCAACACCCGCCTCGCCGTTCGGAGCTCACCTGTCCTCCAATCCATCCGGAACATGCCATTCTCATTCCCTCTCTGGATGCTGTAGGACAGACGGGCGTTCTCACCATCATCCGCATCCATGGCCACGACCCGGGTCACCAGGTAGCCCGGCTCTGCCGAGCGGGGAAGGGGCTCCCGAGCAGTCCCGTTCTTCCCCAAGGGGGCGAGCACCAAGGGGGGGTTATCGTTCTGGTCCACCACAATGACCCTGACAGTCACATTAGTGGAGAGTTCTGGGGCCCCGGAGTCCGAAGCCTGGACCATGAAGGAGAAATCCTTCAGCTGCTCGTAGTCAAAGGACCTGAGGGCGTACAGGTACCCGGTCTCCTCGTTGATGGACACGTAGGTCCTGACTGACATGCCCTGGATCTCACAGTCTAGTATGGAGTAGGTGATGAGGGCGTTTGGCCCCACGTCCGGGTCCAGGGCCGTCACAGCGTGGATGTACGCCCCTGGCACGTTGTTCTCTGTGACGTACACGTCATAAACGGGCTGCGTGAACGCGGGCGCGTTGTCGTTCTCATCTGACACCTGGACCCGGATGGACTTACTGGAGGCCAGAGAAGGGGTCCCTTTGTCCCGCGCGACCACGGTCACGGAGTAGGAGTCTGCGTGCTCGCGGTTCAGCAGCCCGTCGGTCACGATGGTGAAGTAGTTCCTGAAGGAGGACTTGAGCTTAAACGGAACCTCACCCAGAATTTCCACCTGGACCAGCCCGTTCTCCTCCGCGTCCCGATCCGTCACGCTCAGCAGCGCGATCACCGTGCCGGGGGTCGCGCTCTCACTCACGGACTCGGTCACGGTGCTGAAGGTTATTTCCGGCGCGTTGTCGTTCACGTCGGCCACTTTGACAAGCACTTTGCAGTGCGCCGGGACGGCGTTCGGGCCCAGGTCCTTGGCCTGGACAAAGATCTGAAAGAGACTGGTCTCTTCATAGTCCACCTCCCCGCGCACCTCCACGCGCCCGGTGCGGGGGTCCACGCTGAACAGGTCCTTTACGCGGCTGGAGATGTGGTTGCTGAAGGAGTACACCACCTCCCCGTTCGGCCCGTCATCCAGGTCGGTGGCATTCAGCTGGATCACCAGGGTCCCGACCGGCGCGTTCTCGGACAAACTCACCGTGTAGACCTGCTGCTCAAACACCGGGACGTTGTCGTTCGAGTCCAGCACTTTGACCACCAGCAAGGCGGTTCCGGTCCGGGGCGGCTGGCCGCCGTCCACAGCGGTCAGGACGTACCGGTGTGCCGCCTGATGCTCCCGGTCCAAAGGCTTCTCCAGGACCAGCTCCGCGAACTTGTTTCCGTCCGTCTGCGTCTGCACGTCCAGGTAAAAGTAGTTGTTGGTGGTGATGTCATAGGTCCGGAGCGCGTTGGAGCCCACGTCCGGGTCGGACGCGCTCTCCAGCGGGAACCGGGTCCCCGGGGTCGCGCTCTCTGAGATCTCCACCGTGATGTCCGGTTCCGGGAAGCTCGGCGGATTGTCGTTAATGTCCACCACCTCGATCTCAACTCGGAACAGCTCCAGCGGGTTCTCCAGGAACACCTCCATGTTGAGCTGGCAGCTCGCGCTCTGCCGGCAGATCTGGTCCCGGTCTATCCGCTCATTGATGAACAGAACCCCGTTCTCCAGGTTCACCCCCAGGTACGGCGTCCGGGAGCTGGGCACGACCTGGAAGCGTCTGGAGGCCAACTTGGTGAGTTCCAGACCCAGGTCCTCAGCGATGTTCCCCACAAACGTGCCATGATCCGCCTCCTCCGGGACCGAGTACCGGATCTGACTGCGCGTTCCTTCAGCCAAGCACAGAACCAGCAGGAGCGCAAACATCAGAACACCTGGGTCAAGAATCCACCAGCACACAAAAACTACCATCAATCTGGCTTCTGGTCCTCAGCACGGAGTCGGAACCTCCAGGTCCATCCGCCGTTTCAGTTTCACCCGGAAAGTCCTCGTGGTGCGTAAAAGTCTCCAAACAGAGTCCAGAACCCGCTCCCGTTAAAACGGAGACATGCTGATCCTGACCGGGAGTTTGGATCACTGCAGGAGGTTCGGGTGGCGCTCTTTGGGTCTTCAGATCCACCTGAAAGATTTCACAGCGCAGCTGGTGCCACCGGTAAACGACGGAGTCCAGCTTGTTGGAATGATCTATAACAGAACCACATGACCGGTTCCTTTAGAACCAGCAGGGGTCAGGAAGTCCGGGTCCACCTGTCTCACTCAGTCTGCGCACCGCTGCCGGTTCGGAATACTGAGGCGGATCATCAGAACTCTGTGCGTTTTTCACCTACAACGCCCGCCCCCGTGCAGAGAGCTCCCTTCTAATTGGCTCCTGAGGCTGTCAGTCTCTCTCTCTCTCTCTCTCTCTCTCTCTCTCTCTCTCTCTCTCTCTCTCTCTCTCTCTCTCTCTCTCTCTCTCTCTCTCTCTCTCTCTCTCTCTCTCTCTCTCTCTCTCTCTCTCTCTCTCTCTTACACACACTCAGAGAGAGAGTAAAAACTAATCTGGACTTCCATCACTCTAGCCAATCAGCAGACAGATTCGGAGCCGAACGGTACCGGTGAGGCGGAGGGTCTGAGGGACATCAGAACTTGTTGGGCACGTATTCAGATCTTTGGGGTCAGAACTAGCCGAACCGGGTTAACTGTGAATCATTCTCCACTCCTGTGCTGCTGTGCGCCATAATTACCGAGTTCTGGCAGGGAGAGAGAGCAGCGGCTCCGCGGACCACTCGCGACCCCTGGTGGTCCATGTTCGGATCAGGATCAAAATCCAGTGAAGTTCTACTGGTCCTCAGTAGAACGATCTGGACCAGTGAGGACGTAAAGGGACACACTTGAAGTCATTGTGGATTCAGGAGAGGACAAAAGTCTCAGGACGTCTGTCTACAGGACCAGGAACACACGCACACACCTCCCACAAACACATACGCAAACACGCACACATACCGTCCCCAAACACACGCACGCGCACAGAGACACACAAAGCTCAGTTTGTTATGCTTTATTTAAAAACTAAAAGTTAAAGATGTGAACGCTTAAAAGTCCCGTTCCTAAATAATTTGTCAAATTTCTGTTTCCCCGAAATAAACCACAGATCCACAACGGTACCAAGTTCTACAGAATCTAAACCACAATCAGTGAAACAGAGACATGGGTTCAGCCCAACACAGATCAGATGTTTCACATAATTTCTTCCTCAGGGGAACTGAAGGGTCTACTCATCACTAGTTAGCATTAGTGTTACTGATACCATCATCAGCCTTCAGTGATGTTCTGCTAGAGATGAACACATGACGGATGAGTTTGTTCACTGTCTAACTGAAGCTGTAGCATATGGGCATTTGAACCAGACCTGGATCAGGCCTGGATCAGATCTGGACTGGAACTGGATCAGACCTGGGCCATTTCTCAATCCCGGGCCATTTCTCAATATACTGGCTTGTGTTCTCATGTCCTTGTGAAACGTCATCAGCGGTGGATCAAGTACTGTTCCAACCCTAATGCAAGTTTGCTCAAAGTTCCCGGAAGTGCTCTTGCTCTGCCCATCGTATCAAGGAATTGGGACAGCAAAGTGTTCCTCAATGCATTGCGTCACTGTAAGTAATTGTGTGTGTAACCTGTAAAATCTGCTGTGTATGTCTGAGTTTCACTTTTCAAGATCCCTCAAAATGCTAATTAGCTAACCCACTATCAAAATAAAAGCAGAGCATCTTTGTTTTTATGAAAAATATGTTTCTATTAATTTAACAGCAGAAGATGCTGGTATTTTATCAGTTTAGATTAAAAGTGGAAAAAATATAATATTATTTGTTTCTGTTGTTTTTTTGTTATTCAAGGAACAAACTAGACTTTTATTTTTAGGTCAGGTCGTAGCTAGAAACAAGCAGCGCTTGTTGCCATGACGCAACTGAGTACGATTGTGGTCCAAATGCCGTCCTCATCCTGTCATACTCAGTAGAACAGACTTTCTGATGTCCTTGCCAAAAACATACCTGCTTCACTCCGTTCTTTTACAGAGATGAGTTGTTGTTCATAAAGCGGCTAGCTCTGACGAACAGAGTAAAGCAGGGGAAACGCAGAATGAATGCACAAAAAATGTTTGAAGAACATACTTATTTAGTACACAAGCGTGAGTATTGAGAAACTGCCCTGGATCAGATCTGGACAAGACCTGGACGGATCTGGGTCAGACTTGCTGAGATCAGGATCAGATCTGGATTAGATCTGGATCAGACCTGGACCGAGTTATAGCATTAAAATGTTATATAATACTATGTTATCATTATTATGATTATATGTGACAGTTAACACAAATGTTAGTATTTTTATGCTTTATAGCGGTATAAAAGTTTTACCTACAATAAATAAAACCAGCTACAGCAGAAAAGTTTCATTTCACTTTTCAGAACAGCAGAAGTTATCTTTATTTTTTCCGGATGAGTCGCAGACATTTAGTGATGCATCAGGAATCATCTGACTGTTTTTATTCTTTATTGGATGTCCTCCCAGTTGAACCAGCTGTCACATAACAGATTCTGCTTTAACTGAACCTTTAACTGTGAATCTTTTATACCTAATTACCTGAGACGTTTTGTCTCCATGTGGGACTCTCTGGAGTCCATGTAGAGCTGAACCAGTCTCTCTAAAGCAGCGAGCATCTCAGCAGCCGACACATCTAATATCATGTAAATCAAAGATTTGTCTGTTCCAAGCGAGTCTCCTGTCTCTGACCGGGAAGCTGTCCATGTCAGAGACAGGAGACCTGAGTCTGAGAGCAGCTCAAGAGCTCCTCCTAGTGACAAACCACAGAACTACACGAATCTCATCAGCACCACCGACACCAGAGGCGTTCAGCCCTCAGAGCAGATCCTGCTGTGCAGAAATAACTACCACGGATAAATCAATAAAGACCAGATGAAAACCATAACAGCTTCAAATCTAATTGTTCTTTTTGATCTTTCATTTTGATTATAGTGAAAATATTTCATTCAGAAAATGTTTTTTTTTTCTGTTTTCTTTTTATTTTCAGAGATCGTGTCAATGTCAGAGTTTCATGACCCACATCATAGATACACACATGACACAAGCACATGCCCCGACTTTAGGAACCGGTATTCTGCTCCCCTCACCAAATGTCTGTGACTAAAGTGAGTCAAAGATCAGGATCAGCCAGTGAAATGAATCACTTTTACTCAGTACTAGAAACACAAAATGATTTGGTTTGCTGCAGCTGTTTGTCTGTAATCCACAACCCGCTCCGTTTGTGAACTTTGTTTTACCAGGAAAGACCCTAGAGATTAAAAATCTCATTAACAAGAGAGTCCCAGCCAAGACGGCAGAAAAAACAGGAAACAGCTCACTCTTCCAGGAAATAAAAGGACAAAGCAAACTACAAGGAATCAGGTGACAAACGGAAAAGATTTGTTGAGTCAGACTCAGGAATAAACTCGGTGCAAGCCTACGGTACATTCAGGAGGAACAAGTCATGTGATCACATGCAGTTTGCTGTACGTTTCTGGAGGATGGAGGTCTGAAGGTAGGCTGGGAGAAAACCAGGAGTCCAGTAGTTTTGTAAATGAGAACAAGCTGGTGTTTAATCAGTGAATGGACAAAGCAGCCCATCCAGCGCCAGAGAACAGGGGGTGAGTCCGAGTTTTAAGGTTTGTGACAAAGCTCAGGGCTCCACGGTAGACCGAATCAGACATTGTGAGAAGACATACCTGTAAATCACATCCACATCGGGAATTCAGATGAGTCTTTTTGTCTGCAAAAGACCTGATTCTGAAGAAGGAGGCAAGTCTGAGCATCCGGTTTTTACCAGTTCCTGAATGTGAGCCTTGAATGAGAGAGACTCATCCATCAGAAAGTATTTAGACACAAGCTCCGTGGAACAGTGAGGGATGGAAGATGTGTGGATGTTGATTTTGAGTTGGAAAAAAATCCTAAAGTTTGTTTTGATGGGATTCAAAACTGGAATCAGAAGACGTGAACGGTACTAAAGGATTGTGGGAGCTGAGAAAGGGCCAGATGAGATGAAGATGCAGCTGAGTACACCACAGTCTCATCAACATAAAAATAAATATCTGTGTTTCATAGTCTCCGGTCCAGAAATGACAGGACCCCAGAACTGATCCCTGAGGAACACCTTTAGGGTACATGAAGGAACCTGGAAGTGAGGCCTCCTGCATTCACACACCTAAGTCTTTTCGACAGCATGTTCTGATTTATAGATTATAGGCCTAACTCACACACACACATGACTCACCTCATCTGAAAACATCAGAGAACCATGTCTTGGATCAGATCCCTGCAGATGAAGGAGAAGGATGAGGAGCGTGGCCTTCACCCAGGAGAAGGTGTTAATACAGGAGCCACATTTAGAGTCATTGCCCTCTCAGGTCCATCAAACACTCTACTCACATCACAGGACAGAAGCTAACTCATCACCCCAGTCTTCCTCCTCTGGTCACTGCTGCAGCCAGACCAGCAGAAATCCTTCTCCTCTAGTGAGTAAAAATGATCTCACACATTAGAGCTCCTCACACGCTGTGATGGCTATTTAGGATGCTCCTGAGAGCAGCCCCACTCGGAGGGTTATTAGAGCAGGAGGAAAGGGGATGTTTGATTTATAAAAGGGTGCAGGAATAGAGCACACTCGAAACTAAAACTCAGGATCCTTTCCTGGTTTAACAAGCATGCTCTCAATTAACATCAAAGCGCTGTCACTCTGGTGGCGCCTGATCTTTTCAACACAAACTGCATTGTTTCCTGTTCTCTTCATCTTATTTTAATTTCCAGGAAACTTCTATCTTCTGGATGGAGACAAAGATCACTTGAGCTTGTCTGACGTCACGATGGCTAGAGTGTGAGAGAATAAAGGGGGGGGGGGGGGGGCTGATATGGCTCAGTAGATTGTTTTAGTAACTCAAAGCCGGTTGGGAGTTTTCCAACATAAAATACAAACAGTGGTTCTGACGTGGCGGCTTCGATAGCTACAGTTACATCGATGATCACAATCCCTACTCAGCATGTCTCACCAACAGCACAAATGTGGCATGCAGATGTGTTTTCAGTCTCATTGTGGTAAACGGGGTTATCTCCACAGATGGAAAAACCAGAACGCCTACATGGGCTCTGAATATTCAGGGCCTCATGTCCAAAGGGTGTAAACATGCCAAACACTGGTGTCAGGCCTTTCCCCTAGCCCTTAAATGGACAGGCACATACAGGACAAACACATCTGATGTTATTTTATTACCATAATCTGAAATG